CCTTACTCTCTTTATTCTATAACCTATTAAAAAACTCCCTCTACTTAATTATTAGTTCTATAGCGTTAATAGCCTTATTAATTCAGTCAGTATTGTTAGCCAAGCACGCTACACGCGCCTACCACTTAGCTAAAATGCAGGCATAAGACAACAAAGCTCCGTTGTTGTCTGCGTAGCTGATACATAAGCTTACGTTCGTAGTGTACGGACCCGCACCGTGACAAGTTCTAGATATTAAGAAAAGTATACTTTGGTTTTAATATTCTAGTCTGCAGATCTGACCCAAACCCAACCTATTTGCCAGCCTACCCATACGTAGCATAAGTAGCAGGATGCCATCCCTAGGCCCGAGTACGATAGATGAATGCATACTCGTTTAATAGACCTCCGCCTATAACAATCCGCCTATAAGACCACATCAAGTAACCTCAACAAAGAGCGTTCAGCCTGTCACAATAATTTGTTTATATAAGTTTAACAAAGGTAGTTTTGGGCTCAGTGAAAGCCAGGATACCATCCTTGCCATTTTCACGACCCCAACCACTCGACTTGACACCGCCAAATGGTGCTTCGACTTGATTCATCATTGTGCAGTTGACGCACACGGTTCCGCTGTGGATCTTAGAAGCTACACGTAGTGCTCGCGTGATATCCTGAGAGAATACCGCGCCGCTAAGTCCAAACTCAGTGTCATTTGCCCTGCGAATTACTTCTTCTTCGTCTTCAAAGTCATTTACAACAGTAACCGGGCCAAATATTTCCTCCTTATAGACCTTTGCGTCGGGCTTGGAATCAACGAAAATGGTTGGTCTGACAAAACAGCCCTATAGTGTTTGAATTAGAAACGAAGCTGTATTTTGCTGCGGGAAAATTTGTAAGGAGAGGTGCTTGCCTGTGTTCCAGCTTGCTCACCTCCGTATAACAGAGTGGCTTCTTGTTTTCCAGACTTGAGATATCCTGTAACTCTTTCTAATTGTATCTTGTCGACGAGGGGACCGAAATAGACGTTATCTTTGCTTGGATCCCCCATAGTAGTTTCCATCTGCTTTAGTCCCTCCTGAAGGCCCCCGAGGAACTGTTCGCGAATGGATTTATGAACATATAGACGGGACGTAGTGATACAGGCCTGGCCACTGATAGTAGTAAACCCACGAATACACCACTCGATAGCGGTCGCGAGGTCGGCGTCGGGAAAGATGATTGCAGGACTCTTGCCACCAAGTTCAAGCTGGACACGCTTCAGATTGCTCTGAGCCGCCATTTGTGCAATCTTACGACCAGTAGCACTACTACCCGTAAATGAGACCTTGTTGATATCCATGTGCGAGGCTAAGAGTGCGCCAGTCGGACCACCGCCAGTAACGACGTTGAAGACACCATCGGGGAAACCCGCCTCTTTGGCGAGACGGCCAACGAAAAGTGCACCCAGTGGCGACTTCTCGGAAGGTTTAACGATGACCGTGTTTCCAGCAGCTAGTGCTGGTGCCGTCTTGGCAGATAGGACCTGCATTGGTGCATTAAAGGCACAGATGGCTGCACATACGCCCAACGGCTCGTGCGTTATAATCGACATGATGCCATCGACTGAAGGAACAACTTCTCCAAAAAGCTTATCACACCAGCCTGCATAGTCTGCGTTACGTAAGAACAGAGGCCATGCACGATTGATCGGCAGACTTTGGCATCTTACATCTGAAGCATTTCGAAGCAACTTTGAGCTCAAAATTGCTTGCCAGGAGCTTGATTTGGCCGCTGCACTTAGTGTGTAGCGCCCCGATAGTTTCGGCATTGCTATCGATAAGATCTGCGAATTTGTTGAGTATAATTGCTCGCTCGCCCGGAGGTGTTGCGGCCCAGCCGGGAAAGGCAGCCCTAGCAGCGGCGACAGCCGCATTGACGTCATCTGGACCTGCAACGTGTACATCGTCTGTGACAAGAGAATCATCGGTGGGATTGTAAAGTTTTAGTCGTTCAGATGACTTGGCAGCTACATACTGCAGTTTGCTTAAGCAAAAGTAGTGGTTCGTCAGCAAGGGGTTCAGAGCACACCTGATTATTGATGAACAGTTTGGTTTCAAACGGCGATGCCATCTTATGCTGCTTAATTTGCAAGTGCCCCAATTCCTACTTTTGGATATTGAGCTGAAGAGGTTTATTCAAGGAAGTGAAGATGATACAATAGGCGGTATGTCTGTCTGTGCGCAGTCGTACCGAGATGCCTTGTGCAAGATAAGATTGAAATGAATTCAATGGCGCATTTATACTGTTTTAACATGATAATGCAAGATATGACTAAAACCTAATGTACGGAAAGCTCAAAAAATAATTTGCCGAGTGCTCTCTACGTTAGTAGCAACGATCAAGAGATAGATGCCGGGAGATCCGGTGTCAGGTGAGACGCTAGCTAGTATGTACTTCAGATCGATCCGGAGTATCCTTGGTCAGTAATTCAGATTCAGGGATGGGTAAAAGGCGGGGTAATCCTACGAGTTGGTCCTAGCCAATCGTATACAGTCTAGGTACCGTATAGACCGTAGACTCCGCATGGATGTTGATACATTGAGGCATACTCGGAAGGCGATGGCCTACCATCCATGCGGAGAATGATGCCATGTTTGAGCAGCGATTCTCAGGAACCTCGAAGTTCCGCGCCCCGAAGAGCTTTCGGAGCATTGCATGGTATTTGCTTCCGAGAGCAACCTTGCTCTCTTGGCTTATTTGTACTACTATACATGATCATTGTGCTCGGATGTTTCGAGACTCCATCTTCCGGTCTTGAAGTCTAGGCGGTTATGAAACACGGGCTGTAAATATAAACGAGAAGAGGTATCTCGCTCTTCCCTACCTTTTTCGACTTCCAAGACAAACAAAGACAAGAAAAGAACTTATAGCATAATCATCTTAAGATAACCGAATCAACTATGTCTGCTACCCTAACAGGAATTGCTAGGCGCGTCTATGCCGTAACAGGTGGTGCATCTGGCATGGGAGCGGCAGCCGTACGTGAACTTGCGCGTCAAAACGCCTCCGCCATTTGGATTGCAGATTGGAACGACAAAGCATTCAACCATTTCACCGCTGAGATCAAAAACATCAATAATTCAACGAAAGTGTACACGACTAAGGTTGATGTTTCTGACTCTAAAGCCGTCGATGCATGGATCGAAAAGGTTGTCGAGGTTTCAGGTGGCCTCCACGGCGCCATCAATCTGGCCGGGCTTCCCCAATCTGCTCCTCGGACGGAGGAATTCACAAGTGGTAAAGTGCCAGCCATTGTCTGTGAACCCGACCATGAAATCGACAAGATCACAGCGGTCAACTGGAAAGGTGTCGTCTACTCCACTCGGGCAGAGGTCCGCGCCATGCTGAAAATGCCCAAGGGGAGCAACCCAGCGATTGTAAATATTGCTAGTTTGGCCTCAATAAACCATGTCCCTGTAATGTTTACATACGGAGCAACAAAGGCCGCTGTCGCACATTTTAGCGGTCAAGTCGCTGCAGACGTGGCTCGTTTCGGCATACGTTGTAATGCTGTCTCTCCAGGTAAGATTTTTAATCCCTTGTTATATTAAACGCGGAAAAGAAAGAAACCCTATAATCGCTCTTTAACATTATTATTGTGATGTTCTAATTCTCATATAGCAATGATTAACACTCCAATGCTTGATACATTTCTTGGTGGGATGCAGAACTCTGAAGCAATGAAAGAGGCAGGTAAAGGACTCGAACCGATTGAGCCAGAACATATGGCGAAGGTGATGGTCTGGTTGCTCAGTGACACAGCGTCGCATGTTAATGGTCTTAATATGCTTCTTGGAACCACTCCATCGTAATTTAAAGCTAGATATGTTAGGGTACGGGATCGTTAGGTCAGGTTGGACGGTAGGTATTAGGATAGATTACAGGACGTAGCTATATATATTAGGTAGAACAATATATAGTGGATATTAAGTAAGAGTCTAAGTTTTTTACTCTAGGTATTAACCCTATCCTTAATCCCCGACAGAACTAAGGTCGATTTCGACCTTAGTTCCCAATTTCTTAGTACTACGAGCCTAGGGTTAGGTCTAGGTAAAGACGTAATTTCTAATTTCCTAAATAGGTAA